GGAGGAAGTGGGAAGAGAGCTGTTACACTGTAGGACTGCAATCAATGTCACGAAACAAAATGTATGTGAACTGTTTAATGGAAGACAAATTCAATCCATAAAGTTTTTCCCAAAGCACAATAAAAAGTTCTTTGTAAAAAAAGGTAGTTATCTCTCAGTAGAGAATTTCAGATGATTTTGACTATTTTTCTTTCTGCTTATCTACCTTTATGATTTTTCTACAAGACTCATAATTTTTTGTTATATAGGAGAAAAAAAATTTTGCCAACACATCACTGACCAGGGTGGGAAGGTGGAGAGGCTAAAGGGACAAGCCAGGCATAAGCCAGCAGGCACAGAAGCCTCAGAGCAGCTAGTAACTGACAGAAATGGGTCTGGCCCAAGGGGTAGGAGGAATGCAAGGAGTGCTGCTCACAAGTGTCTTCCCTCTCAGTAAGAGCAGGTGTCCATGACCATTTGTCCTATGGCTACACTGCCCTTTAAACTACTGCAAGTAGTACAGCCTTACGGTCAGAGTCCTACCTTTGCAATCAGACTGCTGGGGTAGGTCACCATGCTCTAATACTCACAGAGTGTGTGACTTAACACATCAATTAGCCTTTCTCATCTATAAAATAGGAATCACACCTAACTCCCAGTGTGGCTGTGAAGATTAAGAGAGATGACTCACAGTAAGGGCCCAGTACACAATTTAAAAAAAAAAAAAAAAACTTGTTGCCATCAAGTCAATTAGCAGAATTGCTCCACAGGGTTTCCAAGGCTGTAAATCTTTATGAAGCAGACTGCCATATCTTTCTCCAGTGGAGTGCCTGGTGGGTTCCAACAGCTGACCTTTCAGTTAACAGGCAAGCACTTAACCTCTGTACTACCAGGGATCCCTGCATACAATAAGAGCACAATACATGTAAGGCAATATTAGCTCCCTGCAACAAAATACCAGCCCTCAACTGCATTCCCAGTCATGGGACCGAGTCCCAAAACAATCAGAAAAGGATCCAAAGAGTATGGCCTTTCTTTTCCCTTATCTGCTGAAGAAAAGACTGGAGGACAGTGTCTGCTTTAATCCCAGTGCTCTCAGAAGCACTGGAAGGGCAAAGGCATCCCAATAAAACATGCAACGTTTTCTCCACTGTGGGCTAAAAGTTCTACTTTCAAAGTTTCAGGGTTTCTAGTCCTTTGCCACTACCACACTTGCCAGCCACCGCCTTTGGCAAGAAGGTAGGTGACTCAAGTGCTGAGCTAGGACTTGGCAAGAGGATGCCAAACCAGAAGGCCTCCAGGCAGGAAGCTGCAAAAAGGACCACCTGCTGAAGCATTTTGTCTACAAGCAGCCTGAGCCTGGAAGCGGTCTTCTGCTGTCATTTGAAAATTCAGATAAGAATAGGGAGCATTTCAGAAGTCCACCAGAACTCAACATTCTTGCTTCATGACTTTGAAAAAACTTTTTTTTAAAAATCCAGGCCAAAGATATGAGCATATTTAAAAGTCACCGCAGTGTCTTAACTACACAACATAAAGAACAACAAAAGTTCAGTGTCAAATCAGTTTCATGGATACCGTGAGCAAACATACATTACATTTGTGTATAATAAAATCTTCTTTCTCAAACTTAATACCACCTCACTTTACCAAAGATACAAACCTCCTAATATGCATCTATGATGGATACATTATAGATGTATAACTACATTGTAATATTGATTCCATAGGTAAGGGCTATGCTCTATAGGTGACCAACTTATCCTGGTTTGTCTGGAACTTTCCTGGTTTTAGCACAGAAAGTCCCTCATCCTGGGAAACTCCTCAGTCCTGGGGAAACCATGGCAGTTACTCACCCTAAAGCTGTAAGGAAAACTATATGTGTGCTGTGAAGGGGAAAACACAAGAGAGACAACCACAAATGCAGAAGTGTTAAATGCTAAGCTTGTTTGTGGCAAAAGCTCCCAGTTCCTTTTAACAGTAAGAAAAAACTAAAAGCCACACTTGTCTCTCTCTTTCCCCTTTCTTCTTACTCTCTCAAAAAGAATTAGGAGAAGGCATTTTCCCTTCTCTTGCATGATTGAGAGGTCACTGCAGAATGAACTGCTGAAGTGGGGATTGCCATCACCCAGCGAGCTCCTGCCCCAGCTTCAACAGAACAGGAAGACCCTTGACTTCAAGCATATTTAAAGACAACTTGTGATTCAGGTTATCAGCAGCAAGAATGTGTCTTCAAGCAAAAAAGAAAAAGCAAGAGCCAGGGCAAACTCAAGATTCGCCACACAAACAGAGTGTTAAACAAATGAGGGAGGAATGAAAAAATACTTCTTTTACAAATAACTAAAAAGAGAGCTGTGCACACCCTTTACAAACTCCAAGGCTGCTCCCTACCCATTCCTCTGGCAGGTTTTAAAACTCTGGGGTTTTAAGCCTCCAGTGAGGTTAAGAATTGACTTCTAAGAATACAGAGTTTCAAACTGAAAAGGTAAGACTATATAAGGCAAGAAAGACCACACACTTCTAGACCTAAAGCCACACAGAAACCTTCCTTGCTCAGCACCACACCCTACCCAGACCACCTCTCCATCCAGTTCCCCTCCGGTTCTGTCCCAAGACAAACCAAAACCAAACCCACTGCCCTCTAGTCAATTCCAGCTCATAGCGACCCTACAAGACAGAGTAGAACGGCCACAGAGGGTTTCCAAGACTGTAAATCTTCATGAAAGCAGACTGCCTTAGCTTTCTCCCATGGAGGCCTGGTAGTTTTGAACCACCAACCTTTCGGTCAGCAGTCAAATGTTGTAATCACAGCACCACCAGAGCTCCTGGTAAGGAGACAAGGTAGGTTGGCAATTTTTAGATGATCTTGAATCTTAGAATGTCTTAGCTTCTTTTTATGCATCAGGAAGTGGAATCAAATAAAGATCGTGGAACTCTTTCTTTCTGCAGTAATACTAAATTATGGAAGGGGCCGGGGTTGTGGGGGGAGCCATATTCAGAAACACTTTAAAAGGCAAACATCTTTGAAAATCCTAAAGGACTTCTGATAAGTCCTAAAGAATAACATCCTTTCTTTCCTAGACCAAGAAATACGTTTTTCAGTAGTGTTGATCTTGATTTAAAAAAGGATGCCTTCTTGTGACCCTTTCAAAATATCCAATGAGAAGACAGAGGTGTCTTACCACCTGAAGCAGAAAGCAGAAGAACCTGGAAGACCCGAGATAGGAGCCACTCCCAGCTCTACAGGCCAACAGCTGTGGTCCCTGACTGCGGGACTTCACTTCTTCAGACCTTAGTTTTAACTGAAAAAATTAAGGACTTGAGCTGGAAGGTCTTTAGCTTCCCTTTCATCACTAAAATTGTAAGTGAAATTCTTTCACGTATATTTTCTTTAGATAACAATAACACCTATCAGGAGCTTTTATTTTATTTTATTTTGTGCACTTTGAAGATTTAGGATTAACAGACAAGTAGGTGACCCGTAAAGATGACAGGACCAAGGCAGATTAAAATTGGAAGATTTAAAACAAGCAAATGTCTAACAGTTGGCTCAGTATGTGACCAAAATGTGGGGGCAATCCTAATATCAACTTACAAATACTTTCAAATGGTCTAGAACCAATGAGAACAAGTAAACGAATCAAAAATGCCAGCTGCTCCCCCTGCTAAATTTAACAGTAACATGGATTTTAATTCAGAGCCCCACACCCCC